TCCTTTTTTCTCATGAGACCAACCATTTTATAATCTCACAAAGACTCGGGCGTGACTTTGTCAAGAAAAGAAAGAATTAAATGCAGAGAGGTGCAGTGGAGGCTCCTTGGGTTGCTATTCTGAATTAAAGTTAGACTCATGTTGGTAAAATCTAACCATGTTTTTTGTCTTGGTTCCCTATAATTCAGTTAACACTCAGTCAGGAGATCCAGCTTCAGTCATTCCATTCATGAAGCTCTACATGCCTCTTAGTGGCGTATTTGGTTTATTAAAACGTTACATTTGAGCAAAAGTCACTTCCCCACTTGACTCTCTATCTTTAGCTTTTCACTTTTCCATGCTGGCACAGGGATAGGGTTAGGGTTAGGGTCAGGCACCATGGCGTCCTCAAATGTATGGGACAAAACGGAAACAACTCAAAAACACCAAGTAAGCTGTAAATTAAGAGTTATGTTACATTGAGAGCTCTGGTTCCAGAAATGTCCTCATTCCAATCCTACATTGAGATTTCAGAGAATACCTTTTAATCAAGCCAACCAGCTTCCCGATACGTTTTATTTGGTGTAAAAAACGATCGGAAAACTGAGAAAAAGGCAAAGGTATACAAGACTGTGTTCATCGTTTCCAACAAACAATAGTTCAAAACACTTCTTTCTCCCTCCAGGATTTCGCAGGCTTTTATTGTGATTGTCTTGGGCTTAAATGCCTGATTTTGTGACAGTTTATTATTTTTTTTAAATCGCAGTCAAAGTTGCGGTATTTCAAGGCTTTATTTTTTCAATTACATTGAAGGAGCAAGTGAATTTGCAAAAACAGTTGGGTTATTTGCATCCAGTTCAATTAATGCATCTTAAGCTCTTTGCTGTAACACAATTCACTTTCATCAAAATTTCTAAAATGTTGCAGTGGTGATTTGTTGAATAGCATTAATAGTTGTGATTGCACATTTCTGGAGAGAATGTTTATTGAATTGTTTACATCATGTATATATGTCGTCATATATTGTAGTTTGTGTTTATATAATGTGTTGAACTTCTGGGGAACTTCTGTGGTAGCAGCTGACAGCTGAAGTTCACGGGTCAGTAAACATTTCCATGGTAACAGCAAGCTCAACCAATTAGAGACGTCACTGTGAAACTCTGGGATTGTTGGTGTTGTAGTTATTTTCCCCAAGACCACTGATAAACCATTTCAAACTTGTCTTCTAATCTACAGGAGCATAAAACATAATTTCACACTCAGGTAGCTCATGGTCAGTCTATCTTGGATAGTTATGACATTATGGCTAAAAATCAAATCCGCTAAGGAGAAAATGAATGGGATGTTTTACTTCAGGAACCACATTGTTGAGCTCTATCAGTACTGTACCTGACTCAGTTTCCATCAAAAGCTAGTCAAGAAGCTTTTTCTTCTCAGATTAATCATCCAATGTTTTAACTTAACTCTGTCTTCACACATACAGTAGCTGTGTAGATGGGCAAGTTTCTTCCAATAAAAACTTTCAGAAAATAGTTGCATATATTGGTTTTGAGTAATCACAAAAATAAATCTAGTTGTCTAAAACCCTAAAGCCACAATCCGACCTCAGCCCTTCAGCTGTCATGTCTAGTAAAGGCAAAAATTGCCAAAAAATATACCAAGGCCACTTTTTACAGTATTTGTACTTAATTTTACTGAATCTTTTTCTTCACATTTTTTTTCTCCCTCCTTGTTTCGCTCCTGTATGCAACACACAGTCCTCCCACTGGCTTAAATATCAATAACTGTTGATTTAAGGGACGCTAAGCAGAAATATATTTTTTATAAAATGCACAAAATTGACCTAACATTGCTTCTAGAAAATGTGGAAAACAGACGCAGGGCCTTTTAGTGGACAGCCGCCGTCATCATCACTACAATTAATTAAAGTCGCTGAAGACACATTGAGTCACGTCTGGAGTGGAGCAGTAGCCTCATGTTCAGATGTTCGGAGGGCCAAAACAATGATTAAAGCTGCAGACCCTTCCCAGAAATACCACCCACCCCGCCATCACGGGGTGTCTGAAAACAATGAGGACAAACTCAATACCATTCTGCGTCTCTACTGCTTACAATACAACACATCTCCGTTCTTAATTACATGTTTATGCACCATGACTGTTTTCTACCATGCAAAGCAAGGAGCCTCCCCAGAAACAGCACGTGGATCTAAGTAGGCCTTTACATTAAACCTCACAGTGGACAGATTTAGTTCGGGAGGCATTAATTCTGACGCCAAAGAAGAAAAGAAGAAGAAGGGAAAAAAAGGATCCAAATCAAATAAAAAAGCAGTCATGGCTCACTGTGGTCACAGCCACTTTCATGCTGAGGTGCAGTGCAGTTAAAAAGTTGTTAAATGCCGACTCCACCCCCACACTACTCTGTCATTTAAGTCAAGGAGTTTACCAAAGATGCCCATGGCTCACTGAGATCTCTGAGACGTTGGCAGTTTTTAAAAGGACACATGAAAAAAGAGGGAAAGGTTTTTCCCAAAAGCTCACACAGTGGCTTGACACAGCAGGTTGAGATAGCAACTTATCTATCATATAAACTGATTATAGACGTTTCTTTGTATTTATTTTACATACTTTACAAATGTATTAATCACTGAGGGAAGTTCTGGCATTACAGTTCAAAGAGCTCTCTAAAGTCAGTTTACACTTAGCTCTCTGATTAAGACTGTAGCTTACTGGCACATAAATAAAGGGGTCAAAAGTCGTTGTTGACCGAATGTTTGTTTGAGATAGATTTTGGCAATTGCCAAGGTTCCAATATGACCAGTGGCTCCTTCCAAACTCTCTCTCCCCAATTCACAACTCTATCCACTGACCTGTCACTCCAATAAAGACAAAAAAACCTGAAGATTCTGACTGTTTTCCAAGGATGTGTGTTAGGTCAAAGTTTCCACACCGTAAAGGACTGGGCCCTCTGGAAGAGAGCAGTAAGGTTTGATGCCATTGGACTCTGTGAACTGGAAAATGCTTTATCAGGGATGTGTCAAGGGGTCAAATAAAGAGAAACTTAAAGACAGATCAGACATGCCATGGAGAAAGTACTTCAAAGTACAATCCGAGGTAAAAACCTGCATGAAGCATGCTTTACAAACCACCGTTAACAAAAAGTACTGGTGATTTACAATTGTGTATTTTACATGGAACTGTCAATGCTTTTGTTTCTGTGTTGAATCCTTCAGTCTCAGATAATTTCCCCTTTCGCTTTGACCTTATGTTCATTTTTGGTTTCCCTTACAGTAGAAAAAAGGTCAGCTGCTGGATTCCCTTTTCGGTCAAGCAAAGCTGGCAATTTATCTCAGTAGAAAAAGAAAAAATGGAAAGAAAATTGAGATGTGATTGTGTAGTGGTGTTTCAGAACCTTGTGGAAGCTTGAATATTGTTGGAATACAAGTATTATCATAAAATGGAAGAGTTGGAAGCTTTTGGAAAAAAGTGGGTTTATGAAAGTTTTTCTTCGAAAAGACTCTGAAGTCACATTTGCAGATGTTTGAATACAAATCCATTTTTTGTGTGACAGATTGTAGTCGGTATTCCAAAATCTTGGGAATGTAAATAATTTCTATCCGAATAAATACCTTTTTAAAAAGTCAAAACTCTCTTTCTTTCTCTCTCCGATTTCCAACTCTATCCACTGTCCTGTCACTCCAATAGACACTAAAAATCTATCTGAAAAAAACCTTAACCGATATGTGACGTCACTGAGACTACATCCATGTTTTATACATCTGCTAATGACCCTGAATATTTATCAGAACCTCATAAAACCCCACTTAAAAATGTACAAACCTTCCCCGAAACAGTCTCATATTTGGATGACCTAACACACACACAACATGTTACTATAATACAGTCTGATACAAGTTTCTGATCCATTTAAAGACAGGACAGCACCACATCCTATAGCTCTTTCTACTACTTATTTGTACTAAAATAACTTAAGATTTTAGAAACCCTTGATGGGATATGCCGAGTGTGCAGATTCATTATTTTGAGCCCTCCACTCAAAACCGAGCTCTGCTGGGTTGCAGGTTCTTCTACTGCTGCAGAGCGTCTTAGAACAAAACCTCAATCCTGCCTCCTAGTGTCTTAAAGCTGCACTGTGACAAACCCCACACCACTGTGTACATATTCTCAACACACTGATATATACCTGACAGCATGATCATAAGACTCTGATTAAAATCAGAACACAAAGCAGGCTTATGGTGACTTTCAAAATGCATCTTCCCACCAACACTGCTTGCTGTCAAAGTCAGAAATTGCAAATGAAAAACAACTTTTTCCAGCATCCATTAAAAGCAGGGGAGTCATTTTGCATTGAACCAAACTTGACAAAAATAGCTAAATGGTACACAAAGTCAACCACAGCCTCAGAAGTCGAAAGTTTTCAGACTGGAAGAAAATATTGTCAGTCTTGTACAGTATTTACTTTTCCAAAAAAACACCCGGTAACAAGCCACTTAGTCAATAACGTGTAGTTGTTTTTAGCACTAAACACCCATGTCCCTGCAGTTAAAACAAAAATCAATCCAGGACTTTAAAAAAAGAAAGAAGAGGAAACTTAGGCCTGAGTCATCTGTCAAAAAGTGCAAATAAGGATGTTACATTTAAGAGCTACACCACCACGTTTCATAAACTTAACCGCCTATCATCTGAAGAAGATATATCAAGATTTGAAATGATAAAAATGTCACCCAAGAGTGATTGTGACATAAATGACTTTGCTGCTGCTGTGTGCAGAGAGGGAGAAAAGAAGAGAGAGGAGGCAGGGGAAGAGAGGAGAGGAGAGGAGAGGGAGAACCGTCACCCAAACGTGACAGGCCTCCTGAGGACATGGCACCCATCATTAAAGATGACGTCAGAGCAGGGAGGGAACTTCCACGCGAGGTAGATCCTCCAAGATGCTGGAGACCAGCTTGGTATAAATACCTTGAGCCCAATGCCCTGGGAAGCAGCAGCTGGCGCTCAGACAGACAGACTCCACATCTAAAGGATATAAGAGTGCCGGGACAGCAGCCTCCCGACCCCACACAGTTTCGGAGCGTAAACCTTCCTGGTAAGGTGGCATTTTCTTCTGATTTCAGTTTACTGCACAGGGGATTCCCAACTGCAGCCTGGCTCTCGACGAGGGCAGGGCTGCTGGTGGAGTACTGGTGATGCAAGTGTAAAGAGCCATGTGCTATAGCTGGGTTTAAAAAGGAAGAAGTCTTTGCTTGTGACCAATCCAAAGACATTTTAGTATTGCTCTGTGAAAGACTTTGGTGAATTTAACTGCCAAAGAACAAGTTTAAGTTTTACAATGCTAAAATGTAGTCAACGATTTTCAAGGTAGAAATTGGTGCAAAACTGATTGAGAAGTTAATCTGGAAGATTTAGACATTTATTTGCATCCATCTCTTCCATTCTGACTGTTGGATGAACTGATGCACCAACAACACAGGTGCAATGTGACTCCAACATGATCCAACATGGTCCTTTGGTTGCAGACTGCCATCACGTGACTTCTTCTAAAAGATGGATTTCTGTCTTTGCAGGTTTAGCTTCCCAAGATGGATCTGAGGGTAACAAGCCTTCTCCTCGTCCTCCTGGCTTTGGCTGAGGCGACCCCTGAGAGGTACTACCACCATGTGCCAAAAGTGAGCAAGACTCCCTACCCCGTCAAGAGTCATGGTGAGTGACGTTGGTCTTCTCTCATTAGGGTTGTTAATGGACAAAACTTGTAATTTTGTGCACGTCTCATACGTCACAAACTACAATATATGATAATCAGCATACTAATCATAGAGATTTGCTGGTAAACACAAATGCAAATGCTTCCAATTTATCTGAGTGATAAATTGGCAGGAAAAATGATTGCATCTATTCAATTTAGTATAATTATTAAATTGCTGCCAAACCCATGGTTCAGTAAACTGGTGTCGGACAGTATTCCTTCCACATCAACCAGTTTTTGTCAAAATATTCAACAAATATAGATGAATGAAATTGTTACACTTCTGGGTTTGCTGACATTTCTTAGTTACTTTAGATGCTAAGGAGTACGGAAGCAGGTCTGTTTCTGATTTTCTATATGGTAAAAGATGTTTTAAAATATTTTCTGAGCAATCTCCAAAATAGATTTAAAGCTACAGACAGCAAATACACATAAATAAGAAAAGTCCTACTAAACACACCATGTAGCAAACCATGGTACAATGAGATTAAGGACTTCACTTTAAGCTCTTATCAAACCTTCATAACCAGTCAAAAGTAAGGAACATTTCTCAATTATTCAGCATATCATAAATTCATCCTTTCAATGCCATGACAGTATTTTGGCTCATTGACAACAGTCAATGTTGCTGCCAAAATCTACCACTCCTTGATCATAAAGATGCAGTAAGCCCAGCACAAAGTCTCATTGGCTGGGAGCAGAGAGCTGTGGTTGAGCTGACCAGCCTGCTGTGAATGTGTGTAACTGTATACAACTTTGAGGCCGTGGTGTGACAGTAAAAGAGCACGTGTGCCCTGGATAAATAAAGGGTAAAGAAGTTAACAGTCAATTTTGCTTCTTTCATAAAATAAAGAAATAAATGTCAGTGATGTCTTTGCCAGAATAATGAATAAAAGCGTATTGTATTTCCTCACTAAACAATGATTCGAATTCAGCTTTGCAATAGCAAATGTGTTTGTCCAATTTGGTTTTTAATAAAGGTTCTGATGTGGTTTCTCTGCTCGTATGAGAGCACAAATTTGACGAATATCCAAAACAGATGCTGGTACCACGTTGCAGGCACACCCTAACAAAACTGTTTTGTGGTTTTAAAATCAGCCCACATAATTTGAGTGAAAAAAAAACACAGACTGCCTAGAAACACTTTCATGTGCTCAAACATGAAACCTAATAAACAAAACCCAGCAAATTTACTGGAGCCATTATTCAAATCAAAGGACAATGGAAAAGACCCTGATTCAGAGGGCGTTGATTGAGGACAACTGAATTAAGAAAGGATATACAGGCACTAGTACAAATATAAGAAGAATATTATTGTGCAGCAGGTCACACATGGTTCAGCTCCCAGGTCAGCTACTGTGGTAAGACTCATCACTGTCCTCCATTTTGTAGTGGTTCTGGCTGCCAAAAAGTCCAGTCCTGGCAAAAACTTCCCTCTGTGAGGTTTCAGACATGGCTTTATGTGGCTTGAAAATGACAGCCCTGTCAAAACAGCCTCCTCTCAAAACACAACAATAATGTCAAAAGAAAAGCTTAACTTTTGGATTCTCTCACAGGTCATACTTCTCTTTTGGCAACCATGCATTTAGTTTAACGGCATATCATGGATGTCTTCAGCTGCTCTGCATACAGTAAAGAACTAGTAGATATTTACTCTTTTAGAGCAATAAGTTCTATTTTAAAGCAAACTAGTGAAAACACATATTAAAAAATTCAAATCCTTGTCAAATGTTTAACAGCCATCCTCTGGGTTAAAGCACTAGACTTTTTATTTTCATTTAATCCTTTACTGACAAACATCCATAAAGCCATGTCTAGTAAAACCAAAGGGACAGTGTTTCCTACAGTATGCCATGTTTCCATTGCATAATATTATTTCTGATGTTGACCCCATAAATACAGATAAGTGAATAAGACAGCAATGCCAGAAACACCAATTTAGTTGAGATACATGAACTCATCTGACCGTATCCCTAAACCCTATGCTATGTGGCCGGAAACACACCAAGGTGATGCTGACAACTTGCCGACCACTAACTATACATTCACAGCCATGGGCAGGAGCAGGAAATTAAAGGGTGCAGTAGGGTTCCCAGGCCCGCTTTCATACGCCTGCTGAGAACATCACCTCAGACCAGTGCCCGTCAAGGCTATCCTGGGAGGAAAGGAGTGCTATCCCCACAATCACAGGGAGAGTGTTTAAAGTCAGGTTGTGGTCCTATGAAGGATACCAAAACTTAAATTGTAAAGTTATTCATGAACCTAGATGGAGCCATACTCAAGGCATGGGAAAGTCACAAGGAGGCAAAGAAAGTGGGCGAAATTGTTGCAATCTTTTCTCTTAGTTTCTATCCATTTCTGGTATGCTATTATGTTTTTCCTACATCCAACTACACTATCACAAGGTGTACTGTGCCGTACTGCTTTTATATTTAAGCTTAAGTTTCAGATAAACAGACAGACATTTCAAGAACAACTGAACTAAACCATGTTTACTCTCAAAAGTACCAGCTACATACTGACAATATGATATTATGTCTTGTGCATCATATAACATTTATATTTACATCATATCATTTATGTCCCTAGCTGTTGCAGGCCAGGATGGTCCTCCAGGTCCTCCAGGAGAGCCAGGACCAATGGGACCTCCTGGACAACCTGGAAAAAGTGGTGTAGGACATGCTGGACAACCAGGCCCACCAGGAGCTCAAGGAGCCCCTGGTTTCTCTCAAGCAGGTAAACCTGGTAACCCAGGTAGCCCAGGAAAACCAGGTACTCCTGGCATCCCTGGTGATAGAGGTGCAACTGGAGCACATGGACCAATGGGTCCCAGAGGTGCCCCTGGTACACCTGGATCCCCTGGACCTGCTGGACTTTCTTCTGTTGGAAAACCTGGACCAGGTGGCCTCCCTGGAGCAATGGGACACAGAGGAGAGGCTGGTTTGAAGGGACATCCTGGTATTCCTGGTATTCCTGGGCTTAAGGGAGAGAGAGGCATTGGAGTTCCTGGAGTTCAAGGAGCATCAGGTCCAGTTGGACCAATGGGCCCATCTGGTATGCCAGGTAAACCTGGAGTTGGTCAACCTGGTGCCACTGGATATCCTGGAGAACCTGGCAAGTCTGGCATGCCAGGAAGAGATGGTGCTTCTGGTGCAATGGGTATGCAAGGGCCAAAGGGTCACACAGGGGCTCCTGGCACAGGTGCACCAGGGAAACCAGGTCAGAACGGTACCCCAGGTACGCCCGGACCTATGGGTGCAAAGGGTCCACAAGGTCCTGCTGGTCAGCCAGGCTCCCCTGGCATGCCAGGTGTTGGCAAGACAGGTGAACCTGGAATTCCAGGTAGCAGAGGAAGCCCTGGTACTTCAGGAACAACTGGTCAGAAAGGAGAGCCCGGCCCAACTGGCTATACTGGTCAACCAGGTGCTCCTGGTCCTATTGGCCCAGCTGGTCCACAGGGTGCAAGAGGATTCCAGGGTGAGGGAGGTCCAGCAGGACCCAAAGGTGACACAGGTATGGTTGGTGCACCAGGCCCAAGAGGAACCAAAGGTGAGCAGGGAGCTCAGGGTTTCACTGGAAAACCAGGTAGCCCCGGGGCAGTAGGTCCTTCAGGAATGTCAGGTCATAATGGTGCTCAGGGTCCAAAGGGTGAACAAGGACATGGTGGAGCCCCAGGTCTTCCAGGTGCAAATGGTCTCCCAGGAGCCAAAGGACACACAGGACAACCAGGAGCACCAGGAAAAAGTGGTGAGAGTGGAAGGCCAGGACCAATGGGACCAGTTGGGCCCCATGGTCCATCAGGTCCTCCTGGGCTTAAGGGCCATCCAGGTATCCCAGGCCCACCTGGCCCAGCTGGCCAGATGGCTAAGGGACATTCTGGCCCTCAGGGTCCCCCTGGAATTCCAGGTGCCAGGGGTCAAGATGGGCTCCCAGGCCCCTCTGGTCCCGCAGGTCCACCTGGTCCACCAGGAGAGGTTGTATACCACCATGAGAAGAGCATGCCAGTCAAGTCTCACGAGGTTGTGATGCCTCATGAGATGATGAAGGCCCCCATGTCTGCCTTCAGTGCTGTGCTTACCCAGGCTTACCCTCCAGCTGCATCCCCCATTGTGTTCAACCAGGTTCTGTATAACGGGGAGAACCATTACGATGCCCACAGTGGTGTGTTTACCTGCCAGGTTCCAGGCCTGTACTATTTCAGCTTCCATATGCATGTTAATGGTGCCAACGCACTCGTGGCTCTCTTCAAAAACGAGGAGCCTGTTCTGTTCACCTACGATGAGTACAACAAGGGCTTCCTGGATCAGATGTCAGGCAGTACAGTGCTCATGCTGCATCCTGGTGACAGAGTCTTTGTCCAGGTTCCTGATGAGGAGAGTAATGGTATATTTGCAGCTGAGAATGTTCACTGCATTTTCTCCGGGTTCTTGATTGCCTCAACGTGATTTCACAAATCATAATAAACCTCACAACATTACTAAACATTGAACTGCTCAGAGAAACAAATCAATTTAAAAGAATGGAACTTGAGATTTGAGCTAAAAGAAAAGTATTATTTTTACAAGTAAAACTGCCTCATGTAAATCTATACAATAATCAGAAGTATTTAATTTGTTACAGAATTACTTGACTGAAAAAGATATTAATGATGCGTCAAATTTTCAATTATGGTTCAACTTGATCCCTTTTCCCCTTATTCCCCTTTGTGGGTGATTTACAAGATTTAGAAAACATGAGAAAATATTGGAAATTTTCTTAAGTGGTGCTTTACATCTGCCTGTAACATTTACAGTACGCCTTTTACATGTCTGTTTTTTAATGTCTGTTGTTCAAGATTTTTCCTGTGATATAAATACAAAAGACACACAAAACCAATGGACTATATGTCATTAGAGATCAGCACATTCTCACAAGCACTGTGACAAGCAGAACAACACAGAAAGAGAAAATCAAACTGCTTTTTTGAAACATCAATGTCCCATTGGATGTGTTAAGTTGTGTACCGCTAAGTGACCAAAACAAAGAATAAAACGTCTAGTTTGAAAAAGAAAAATACTGTCTTTGTGTTTTTTGAGTGTTGTTTGTTCAGCATGGGTCCCTGTCAGAAGACATTCTTGATGCGAAGAAAAACTATGACGTGTGCTGATTCTAAAAAAATCACATACCCTTGAATGCAGATGTGTTGTAATTGTGGTCAATAGCAGCAACCATGTCTTTCCAAAAGTCGGAATTCACCTCAGTTCCTCGCTGAAGACAAAAAAAAAGAAACATTTTTGAAAGTTTTTACACATGCAAATCTTAATAGTTACTACAAAACAAGGTTTTTATTAATATTACCTTGTTCAACATGTCCACAACTCTTCCACAGAGGAGGGCCCCGGGTAGATCAAAGTAGTTGTCATAGAAGTAGTATTTTGCTGCAAAAGAACAAAACAAAATCAACAAAAAGCTGAAAAATATTGTGAAATACAACAAAATCATACCAGTATTTTGGGTATTTTTCAACTTGGGCCATAATTTAAAGGTGGAGTCAGTAGTATTTTTTGTCGCAGTTTGATACCACAACATTCAAACTGGGCCCCTCCTCCTGGGCTCACAGCTTCCAGAAGCGTACACTCACTGCAGGACGTAGTGTCTACGTCAACTGTTTGTACCTACACTGCAACCTATCGCATGCTAGCACAAGCTAACCACTGTTGTTTTGCACCTGCCAGTCCAACAGCCAACAGGCCATCTGTGTCAGAGGGTGAAAGCCATCACACGGTTCACCCTCGTTTGAGAAGGAGCTTTATCTGCTTGGTGTTTCACCTCACTATGATTAGTTTGTTTTACATTTTTTCCAATCGCTGAATTGTATCTTCTCCTAAACTCACCTGCACTCTGTCATTGGCTGGAGGATCAAAACAAACCAAAACATCAAAATCCAGTCAGAGGACAGGGTCTCTGCAGACACAGTCACAAACACACATGTATGAAGGTCCAGTAGTGATGACTGAGCTGCAATACATTTGTATATGCCTATATTTCATTTTTCAAGGAAATATCTACTGACTCTATCTCTAACATACTTTTGAGTCTTAATGACATTTAGGTTCAAAATGTTGTAGAAAAATTGATGCAGGCAATTTCTTTAGTTGTCAGCACCAAATCAGGCTTTGACTGCAACGTAATCCATGGGGGCATAAGTGCCTCATGAAAGAGTGTCAACTAAAAGTGCTTGTTTGTGCCGCTGACAGGCTTGGATATTTAAGCTAAAGTATCTGACAACATTATATAAAACATAAGTGGAGAGTGATGCATAGTTATTAAGAGGCTATCCACATTTATACCAGAAACAGTCTTAACGTTTTCCTTCTTGAAAACCAACACACTCAATTGAAAAACTGCAATTATCACTATAGCCACGTTTCATCTCTACTGCTGCCTCGACAAGTTAGCTTGTTTGTCTTATGTTGTTGTGTTGGATCTGAGCAAGTCCTGTGACACACCATAGTTGCGAAAAAACAAACAACATAATTAACTGATCAAGGGAGTAGTGGGACTGCATCTTTTGTGCTCGTTCTCAAGGTCAAATTACTGCTTTTGTCAAAGGAGTGTGGTGACTTAAAATGAATGTGTAACAGTTGTTTCTCTTTGTAACAACCTCCTCCATACTGCTGTGAGAAAATAAGAATGACATCGTGATCCTGTCATTTGCTGAAAGAAACACTTTAAATTGATATGCTTTGATAAGATGCATTTGTCTTAAAAGGTCCAATACAGACAATATCTAGTGACTGAAATGATAAAGGTATCTTACTATATGATCAGACAGGAAACATGCTATGTTGCTGGCTCAGTGCTGGCTTCTCTGACAACAATGCAGCAGCCAGTATGTCCTCCTTCTAACTTTAGATTCTGCTCCTGAATGCTCTGGATTTGTTTGGACCAGAGAAGGTAGGCAGTTTTAAGACACCCCCACACGGCCGTTTTGGACGCCCCTCAGTTTACCAGATATGAGAGCAGTTATCAGGTCAACAGGTGTTGCAGTGATGGAAGCGGACAAGAGAAGTGGTTCAGATAGAAGTGATTGTACCCGACCTAAAAAGCCTCTGCATGTTTCTAATAAGCTCCACGAGCAGAAACGTGCTCAAACTAGGATCAATGTTGGAGATGTTTTTGAAAAATGGAGAGAGGTTAGAACACAGAAAGGTTTACAGACCGATTTTATACGCTAGGTGTCAGAGTTACATATTGCTCCTTTAAAAGAAGAATTTGCAGTCCAAGTGCAACCGGCAGTCAAAAAACGTTTCATTGAGACCCCAAAATCAGAAAAAGGGCCGTGGTTTCAAAGTCTTAGACCTCAAATACAGTATATAATAAAGCTTAATATAAGATAACTCCAACAATATGGATGAAAATAAATGAATTTCAAAATATAGATGAATATCAATTATACCTGATCGTGTGAAGGAAGTATTGAGGCTGTTGAAGTGCCTCCATTCCCTTTTTGGACCGTAATGTTTGATGAGCTCTTCTGTGCTGAGGTCATTGGTTCCATGTGTCGCTCTAATAAAGCAAGACATAAAATGATTTCATTATTCCAGTTTAAAGGTCTGTGAAAACAGTGAAAACTTCCATATAAACACTTTTTTTTTTGGAAGCAGATCAAATGTATTCATTGCAACAAGAGCGTACCGCAAGACAGTTCCATCTTCAGCCAGCTTCACAAGGTTTCCATCCTCCAGATCCACCACTAGCCCTTTAAAACTGAACACAAAACTCAGCATGTTATAAAACAGTATGTACAAGGCCAGTCAACTTATGCCCTCAAGCCAACTGCACAGTAATTTAGTTGACATTTATAGTCTAGAGATGAAAAACTTAATTGCGATTTTTTTTTCCCCCACAAACGTTGGGATTGTGTGGATTGCAAGAAACACAAGCAATAAATAATTATTGTGCAGCATCTTCTTTTTATTAAAACAAAAACAGTTCGATACAACCGACGTACTGCTTCTCTTTGACATTGAAGTTTCTACGATGCCAGGTTCTGTTGACCCTGAGGCCGTCGGACAACAGTTCAAGGTGTGGCGTGCCAAGTTTTCACTTGGAAATCAGGGATTGCATATTAGAGCTTTATTGAGATTAATGGAAGGAAACATCATGAGTTGCATTTGTGTTCCTTGTTTTTTAGGATATGGGGGGAAAACTGGAATATTTGTAAACCTGACACCTTTATTTTCTTGGGATCCAAATGACTATTGGGTAGAAGCAACGTTACAGCTGTTCATTAGAGCTTGACTGATTGATCAATCAGCCAGCCACACATCTGCAGATACTAGAATATCAAGTGACTTATGGTATCGGCTGATTTTATCTCTGATATGTGCTGATATTACTACATTTATTTACCAGTCAAATAGCATTTCATTTGGATTTTGTAGTATTACACTATATATGAATTACAAAAAACATTATCACTCCTCAGAGTTTCGATGACGCACATACATGGGCAGTTACTTTGAAGTAGAGTGACCATCTTGTTTTCATTATACATTTTTTCCACAAGTGAGGGATCAATGTAATAAAAAGTGTATATCTATATCTATCTATCTCCACAGACCATCGAACATTGATCTACGAAAGATATCGGCCGATATACTGTATGGATATCTGATTTTTTTCCCCAATATCGATATCAGTATCGGCCCCAAAACTCCCATATCAGTTGGGCCTAAATATTTATGTTTAACAAAGCATCTTACTCCTCATCAAAAAGGTCTACCTCTGTGGGGATCCTTTCTGTAGCGACAATCTGAGCCTGTCAGCATTAAAAAAAAAAACAGGAACTCTTATTTGGTGTATTTCTATCCACCATTTGCTCACAGGTATTACAATGCACCAACTACAGTCTGCTTCAGGACCTCTGACTAATGCAATAGAGTAAAGACAGTTTTTTATACCTCTTAGTCATTAGACCCCAAAAAAAAGAAATTCCAGGTTAAACACTGTAGTTTTCCTATAGTGATGATTAAAATCCATTATACCTCTTCATGACACAGTTTCCTGCTCTAGGCTATAAGGGAACTGCAGCTGCTGACTCACCAGAAATCCCAGGTAGCGGGGGTTAGGTTCAGCAGGTCCTTGTCATAGCCTTTATGCTCCACCAGGTACCTGGCAAAGCTCTCATAGATCAGCTGCAAAAAAACAAAATAATGAAATGAATCACTTACTGCAAATAAGCTGCACGGTCATGATGCAAATGAGAACAACAGAAACTAAATTCCCGGAATGCCAAGAATACAGAAGGGTTTTTTATATTCCTCCTTCCAAAGATCATTAGTGTGATTAATTCTTACACATCCAACAGACACAAAGAAAAGTTATCATAGTCACGTTTTCTGTCCACCTTATGAAACACAGTTCAATATTTTCTCTCCTCTGCTCTTCTTTAAACCTTGAGAAAACGGGCCGCTCACTTCGTCCTTTGGGTTTTATTCCTTGAATTTGACTTTAAACACAGAATTTTTTATTTTTTTTGTAAATAAAGTCAGAAATCGGAAATCAGTAGCCTGTTGCACCAGCCATGTGTAAGTGTTAAGTTATGTCGTAAAGTCCACCCGAAACCCTACGTTGGAACTAGTTAGATTCAGACTAAAAGGTCATTTTACAAAATACATTTCACCATGTTTTTCTAACACTAATATGTGTCTCTAGTCCATCTACAAACTGCAAAATTATGAGAAAAGTTCATCCTCTCTGTCTTTTGCCTGCTCCACTTTTCAGAAAATGTGTGCTCAAACAGGCTGTTTGGAGATTTTCCCTTCATGACATCACAATAGAGGCGTGGTCAGACACAGCTCATTTACATATTTAAAGGTACAGACCCAGAAACAGCCTGTTTTGAGCAGGGCTGAAATAGAGGGGTTTATAGACATGATCAAATACAGGATCAAAGTGGATTTAGAACAAGAAACTTCACACACATGTTTTGAGGAGCTCTCAGACTTATTCAAACTGATTCATAAGGAGGATTATATGTGTCCTTCAAGTTGAGTCATTGTTTGATTAGCACAGAGACGTAAGGTTCATCTTAACTTGTAGAACATTACGTCAGAATTCTACAATTCACTTAGCAGACTCTTTTATCCAAAGCGACATACATCAGAGAGGAAGTACAAAACTAAGCCACTGAAGTAGCGGGAGCAATGCAGGGTTAAGTGTCTTGCCCTAGGACACATCGGACACGTTGTTCAGCTGGGGATCGAACCCTCGACGAAGTAGGTTGAGAAGCGATGACTCTACCAACTGAGCCACAGCCGCCAGAACTAACGTAAATATTATCGCAGACAGGCCTGCCAAGGAAATGGCTGGGCCCTCTGCAGACGCAATTTATCTTATCAGTGCATGAGTAAATGTGTTGTTTTGTGTTCATGAGGAGGGCTGAGTTTAAAGGTGCACTATGTAGATTTGGTAGTGACATTTGCAAGTCGGAGAAGTGAAGCGAAGGAATTCAAAGGAAAAAAAGGGTCCCTGTTTGGATCGCTGTATCTCCATTAAAGGCCCAAAAATAAATCATGATCAAGTGAACAGCTACAAACTTCATCTAGTGTTAAATAACAACACAGCTACTCTGTTGTTGGGCGGCGGGATTACAAACCAAAGTCATTTCTGAGGGATACAGTCTATCAGAGAGAACACACTGATATTTAACAGCCGGTAACACCCTATGCTCATCCTCCAAGTTATCCCACCTTTCAAAATCATCGCCATGACAACCGTAATTTACAGAGGACTTTACACCTACTAGGAGAGCTAAGATTAAAGATGTAAAATCTGCCTACATTGGGTCTATCTCAGCTGGTGCAACACCCTGACATGTTAGTAGAGGGTGAACTCCGTCATGAAGTAGAACTTACTTCAAAACTACAGGCTGCGTTTGAGCTTTCACATGGCTGATGATGACATCTCTGACTTTTAGAACAAGATACAACTATAGACTGTAAATATTAATGGACGAAGCATGAGTGACATCAGTAATCTGCAGGAGGCTCTAGAGGCTCATCAGAAGCAGCCGCCATGTTGGAAATCCTGTCTTTACCTAACTTTCAGTCAACCTAACAACAGGCTGAGAGCTGGAGATGAGGCGGGTTTTAAGTCTCTTGACAAACCGTTACATCACGTCCACCTGTCAGTCATTTCAGCTATGCGTCTAACTATGGATAATACGTAAGGTTTTCAAAATCAAAATGGATCAGTTTAAAACAAATGCACCCCCCGTACAGTGTGTGCCAGTGAGAACAATATCTATCAGACCTATTTTGTTTTTGTACCAGGATGTAAACATCATTATTTCTGCTGTAAAAACTGCTTTTTTGCCATTTATGTGTATGTGACTTCCGGTGCTCCTGGAGCCAGCCTCGAGGTTGCCGCTTGGATACAACATCTCCTTGGGAGTAATCAAGTTCTGTAACCTTTTGGAGATTTAAGACACCTGGTTTGAAACCTCCCAACCTCTGTTTGTAACTATTTTACACAGGTGGGTTTTATTTATTGTATCTATTTATATCATACTAATTGAGCTCGCTTAATTATTTTAGTAAATTTGAGGCTTTTTCTTAAGTCTTTACTTATTTGTCGTAGCTTCTTAGAAATCCTTGAAATTTTAGTGGCCTTGTATTCATCTGTCTTCTGGTATTTTTTTGTAATTTGTTGTCTGTTTTTAATAGATTCAGTAATGACTTGATGTCACTGTTAATGAGGGTTGTCCCTCAACAATCTCTTGATTATAAATAAAGGTGGAATGAATGAATGAAAGATGCAATCCGGTCCTGAGGTTTAAGACTACCTTCTCCAAAATTCTGTATTGAGACTTTAGACTTTGTTTTTGGTATTTTGCTGTACTGAATTAGAGTCAACAGAGATCAGACTCAGTATTCAGAGTTAAAATCTGACTTTATTCTAAGAGTTATGAAACAATAGTACAAATTGAGTCAGAAATAAGTGTTAAAGGTAAAAAACTCAAACGTGATTTCCCATATTCTTGCATTATTAAAAGATATGTTTGACATGCATTGGACAACAGAGAGCATCATTTATCTGCAGGCCTGATTCAACCACATCATAATGATTGTGAATTGATGTTTGTGTTTTTGTTAAATGTGACCAATGTGTTGCCTGTGAATCTGTTTAGCTTTTTTTTAAAAATCGTGAGTGGATTCTGATGTGAGAGGATGCTGATGACGAGAGGATTTAAAGGCATGTGTGATGATCACCGCCGACGTTCAACCTGTGAGTCACGCAGAGTGACTGCAGCATCAGGAGCATCACCTCACACGCACACACACATACACAAACACACACACATCCCGCTATTCTACCGCTTCCTATAATGTCATATATATTTCTAAAGAGAACATATGCATACAGTAGAGACAGGATTGGCATTAAGTGACCGTGGAGCGTATTGACGGCTCCGCGCTATTTTTACTCCAGATGTGCTGCAGATCGAAGCGTCACGGCCACCGTATGATTATGTATGGGAGCTAGCTACACACACACACACACACACACACACACACACACACACACACACACACACACACACACACACACTCACCCTGGAGGTCTCCTTCAGGTGGTATCGGCAGAGCGTGTGGTCCAGGTCGAAGCCGATAACATCACAGTCGGACAGGCTGAAGTATTCGCTCATTGTAGCTGAAGCTGGGAGGACTGGACGTCACTGTGCACACCACAGTGATGTTGTCAATGTCACTGAGTGACGGCGGGGACTGCTCCCTGTGCACCGCGCTGCTGCTGGCTTCACGTTTGAACAGCCGCCTGACAAAAGTCACCGGGCACCTCTTTTCCGACACTAAACAATAGCACCTGAATGGTTAGAGTCGATAAGTTACCCAGGAGCAAGAAGTGAAACTCCTGTGTGCCAGGAGAAGGCGGCAGAGAGGCGAGTGCGGGAGAGAGGAGAGCGTGCAGCGCTTCCGGGTGTGGACCCCGTATCACTCAGTGTAGATGCGCAACATGAATTTTGAATGCGCACTGCGCATAAACTTGAGTGATACTCATGAGTAAATATCATATTCACTGTAGTAAGTGGAGACACAGCAAACCCTCCTTTGACTGGTTTATAAATGATTTCAAATATGTGTTTCTTATCTCTGAAAAAAATTAAATCTAGCATTCATTGCTAGAAAGATTAGTGCTGATTTATCGAAATTCTTGTTGTTTTGATTTCTGGCCCTTGTTGAATTTTTTTGTCCTTGCTCCAGTTTGTTGTCTGCTTACATTTGCCTGATGTTTTCTTATGGAAAAGTTAAATTTTTATTTATTTATTTTTGTATATAATCCCCCCCCCCCCCCCGTCTTGATTTATGTTTGAATTAACTTGTTCCTGTGTATTTTGCTGTTGTATGTTCATCCTCTTTAAGAGTTTGTATAAAACTTTTTTTGTATATTTAAAATTTGTCAATAAAGACGCTTAAAAAAAAACTTGAGTGATAAGTAAGGCTTTTAATTATAGGCTCAGTGGTTTAGTGGTGCCTGAAGAAGTGGGTATTTTGGGGGGTATTTTACGCCACATGTTTTTGGCCAGTAGTTCAGCAGTATATTTGACCTCTGTTATAAACAGTGACTTGTAAGTCTTGTATATTCTACATACTGTACATGCATCCACAAACATATGCATACATAGATAGTGACATAAAAGATAGATAATATTTTATATATTTCTGTATTCCTACTTTTATATTGTTTTGAAGAACAACTGAATCTGTTTTTTAAACATTGCTGTACATTATATAAACAAGACAACTTCAGAAGGTCAACAGGTTTATTTTATTTTTTTATATTCAGGTCTAATTACAGATTTTTTCCTCAACTGTTTATAGGTTCTTGTTTAAATTACACATATATTTTTTATCCCTGCACAGGTTATGTACATTTCTTGTATAAATCTATTTTTAATTACACAGTTTAAGTTTGATTCATCTAGGGGTATTCTTTAAATCTTTTTTCAGGTTAATATATATGTATGGGAGGAGAGGCGTCGGTTTTGCAGTTTAATTTGTAACAAATGTTTCATGTCATGTACGTCTTTGTAACCTGCTACTCGATGCTTTGAATTTCCCTCGGGATCAATAAAGTATCTATCTATCTATCTATCTATCTATCTGAATTTGAAACAAAGCGTCCCTGGCATTAATAAAGTATTTCTGATTCTGACTCTGATATCACTGAGGGTCATCAAGGACTCGACACACCCTCATAACTGCCTGTATTCACTGCTGCCCTTTAGGACAGAGGTGCAGGACTCCAAAAGCTCAGACCAGCAGACTGAGGAACAGCTTCTTCCTGCAGGCCATACGACCTGGGGCAGTCCAGAGGGAAGGTGCCACCCTGAAAATCCTAAACTGTGATCGGCTATTTGTTGTGTCAGAGGCGACTATTCTGCCTTCTTTTGAAAAAGGCGGCTTTTACTTTATTTTTTTGGTTTATATTTCAAATTGTCAATAAATAGTTTGCACATCTGTTTCATAACACAGGTGCATTGGAAAGTAATGCCCAATGTCTAGCCAGTTTTGGGGACCAAAACTAACTAACCAATCAATGTATTTAAGTCAGCCAGCGTGCAGTAGTTTGCATGCATTTAAAAAATATATTTTTAATTGTGATTTTGAACACACATCTTCTTTTCTTGTGGGATGACACCTTGCAGTGGTTAAAGCTGTTGCCTAACAGCAAGGAGGTTCCTGGTTCAAATCCCTGTCAGACAGGAGCCTCTCTTTGAGGTGTTTGCATGTTCTCCTTGTGCATGTGTGGGTTCTCTTAGGTTCCTCCAGCTTCCTCCCACAGTCCAAAGACATGCTCGTTAGGTTAATTAGTGACTCTACATTGTCGGTAGGTGTGAGTGTGGCTGGTTGTCTGTCTCTGTATGTCTGCCCTGTGATTGACTGAAGGGCAGAGGGTACGGTGCCCTCATTTGACAGAGGCAAACAGATTTTTTTTTTTAAAGGATACAGTACAATGTTTGTTGATGTGGGTATAAGGTGCTCATAGAACAACAACTCGTTGAGTTTGGTCCAAATTGTCTCTTAATGGCATTGAGAAACTTGTAATTGTGTATTATAGATTAAACAAATATATCAAAACCTTGTTTAGTTGCTTTCATAATGTATGAAGTTAATTGTATACTTTATGACATTTGATCCTCCATATCCATAATAATGTGACATGTAATAATAATAACAAAAATAAGTTTATGTGAGGTGCGTAGTGGTTAGTGCACACGGCCCATGTGTGGAGGCTATAGTCCTCCAAGTGGGCGGCCCAGGTTCAAATTTAACCTGTGGCTTTTTCACACATATCAATTCCCCCTCTCTCTATCTCTCTCTCCCCCTTTCCAACCCTCTATCTACTGTGTTGTTTCTCCAATAAAGTTGGCATAAGGACTGTTTAGGGATGGAGGAAGTCAGAGATATAAACAGGTGCCTGATCATGCAGGGATTTATCAACAAAAACAAGGATTTTAAAATGAATTCAGGCTTTTTATTGGAAGCCAATGCAAGGAGGATGTTGTTCCATTCCCCAAGATGGCTAGGAGATGAGGGGAGTAACAATAAATTAAAACCCAGGGAAAATAAAAAGGAACTAAATATAAGCAAAGTTTAAAAATGATTTATTAACAACCTAAAGCAAAATGTGCAACACAAAACAAGCTTCTTCTAAAAAAAAACACCAAACAAAAGAGAAGCCAATCTATCTCAAACACAATTCAAAACTAACAATCAAGATATAAACAATAAGGCAGCCTCCTCTCCTGCAATAGTTTGCTCCTGATTAGAAATAAGCCACAGGTGTGGCGCAACACCTGGTGAGCACACACAGGAGAGAGAAAACAAAACACATACAAAACCATGGCACATAACAGATGTGTTGCTCAGTTTGGTTGTTTCTCAACCAGAAGGGCGGGGGTTCGACTCCCAGCTCCTGCAGCCACATGTCCAATGTGTCATGGGGGCAAGATAAGTTAACCCTTGCTTCCACTGCTTCGTCAGCGGTTTCAGATGTGTATGAATAAGGATACTGATCGTCACTTCACATATCAGCCTTTGCCATCAGTGTGTGAATGTGTTGGGGTGACCTGCGGTGTAAAAACGAGTCAAAAGAGTGATAAAACAAGCTCAAGACCTTTTCCTCTTTGCCTTTTTATGAAATCACCGAAAAATTGTAAAACTGAGGATAAAACATGACAACAACTTTTTTCCCAGCTACTTCCTGCTTACAGCTCTCAGGTGCTCTCCTCCTGCATGGCCTGCTGATGACTCATGACGTCACAGAGCCGCTCCCCATTCCTGAGCAGGTGCAGGTGATTGGCGCAGTGGGACTTGAACTATGAACTCGCACTAAATTCTTTACCAGGAAACTTGACATTTTAAAGTGGGTTAGGGTGCTGGGTGCGTGCCGAAGGGAAGGGAGTCCGGGATTATTAAAAAGGCTTCTTTCTTTAATGGACTCTGGATCATGAGAGAAGGAGCGAGCATTCAACAACCTGTTTCCCTTTTTTCAATCCTCACGCAGAATGCCTCGCTGTGATTGACGACCGCACATCATGGAGATCCAAAAGAGGCTTTCTGCGTGTTGGGAGAGGTGTCTGGCATGTTTTAAAAAGCCGAACCCATCCGGAGGAGAAAGCAGGCGCCCCGATAAATCTGCCATAGTTATAGCAAACCCAGGTGCTGTTTCAACAACAGAGTCGAAATCTCCTTTGACTATAGGTCTCCAGTCGTTTCCAGCAGGGAGATCAGATGTTAATTACGTGGCTCTGTATGATTACGCCGCTCGAACCGAGGAGGACCTGAGCTTCAACGCGGGGGACACTTTAGAGGCTCTGGATAAAAGTACTGGAGACTGGTGGTTTGCTAAAGCCCTGACCGGAGTCTCAGCCTCCAAACAGGGATACATCCCCGCTAATTATGTGGCTCCTGTGGAGAGCATCGATGCTGAACCGTAAGTTTAAATCCAACACTATCCTAATTGCTGTTTCTGTCACATTTATGGAAGCTTAGTCTTGGGACTGTTTTTGTGGGACTGTTTTTGTGGGACTGTATGGAAGCCAACTGCAGCCGTGGAGGAAAAAAAATCCTGATATTCAAAATAATGACAAACTTTAAGTTAAACTCCACAAGATTATGAGAATCCATCTCTTTGTGAATCCCTTTTTTCAGTTTCTTTACTAACAACTTTTATAGGCCTACTATACATTTCTAGAGGTCGCTTTCAAATATGAAGTCTGGTGGATGCGTGGCCATTTAGGGGGAAGCTTTAACACTGTTGTATTTTTCAGTCGGTTCAGTTTGCTTTCACACTGCACTTTGTCAAGCCCACCAAAGCCTGACAAATTTTGTGTACGGTATCTACCAGCCACTAGTTTGGGTTATAGCTCCCGTCAATACCATCCAGCCTAAAGCTGCACCATGACCTGAAAGTGAACAACTGTACAGTGGAAGAAAAGCGTCCCGTAGTGTGGCGCAGTTTTGCAGTATTTCGATCTCTAAAATGGAGATAAAGTTATGTCTGCTGTGTCATATGAACTGCAGCGTTGTGTAACCACTTTTATCACAGGCATGTGGACGTTCATGTGCAAGGAGGACTGAAAGCTGGTGTTGTTAGAAATGCTATCTTTAGCCAGGCTTGGCAAACGTATTTAAAATTGTTAACAGATGGCCAAATTCAACCCACAATGCACTGCTCTTTGGTTCGCTTGCCTTGTTTGGTTCGGATCGTGTTCTCATCTACGGCCAACTGAAACCCTGGTTTTTCAGCGGACCAGAGTTTGTTTCAGCATTCACACTAGGGCTGGGCGATATGGACCAAAACTCATATCTTGATATTGAGTAGCTGAATGGTGATACTTGATATATATCGATATGTTTTTTATTAACATTGAAAACACATGGAAAAATAAACTACCTTTTTGTGACTTTAAAAAG